AACACTGGGACGGTAATTATTTTGTTAGCAGCCTCTGCTCCTGAGGAAGTGCTTCCTATTTTATCAGGCATAGTCCTTCCCCTCCTGGATGGTGGGCGAGGCGGTGTAGCTGACACAGCACGTTTGGATTGGGATTTCAACCCTAAAAGAAAAGCAGCAGTAAGATTCTATGTAGCCAACACATTAATAGAAAGTAAAAGGGTGTCAAAGAAAATATTTTTTAAAAACAAGTATTCCTAGTTAACAAAAAAGCTGGGTGGAGTGGCTGATGCCTACACGCTGCCACTTTGCAGAGCTGAAGCAAGAAGATAACTTGGGCCACTCATCTCTACAAAAAGACCCCATCTCTGAAAAAAAATAATAATAATTAACTGGGCATGGTCCTAGCTACTTGGGAGGCTAAGTAAGGCAGGAGGATCACTTAAGCCCATGAATTCAAAGCTGCAATGAGCTATGATCATACCAGTGTACTCCAGATTGGGCAATAGAGCAAGATACTGTCAATCAATCAATCAATCAATTTCTTCTAATCTAATATCTAATCTCTAATTCTATTTGTCTGTCCTTCATGATGTACTAGGAATAATTCTGATTTCGTATCTGTATTTACCAAGAAAATGACAACTACAGCTAGCTGATGTATATAGGTGACCACCCATTTAGTAGTAAGATTATGCAAATATGTGTAAGAAATCTGTGTTCTTAATTTTTCTCCAATATAGGATAGATTACACCAATATAGAGGTCTTTGAACTAAAATAACCTCATCTGTGTTGAAGAAATACCCCTCCAAAATTATCAGTTATTCCTGCTAATTCTTCTTCTAGAATGTAATACTAAAAATTGATTTGTCAATTAAAAAAATTAATTTTATTTACTAATTCTGTGTGATAACACAGTGATAATGAAAACTAGTGAATACATTTCATTTTGTTTTGTAAATCAAGGTGATTATACAAAAATTTCTTAACACTTAGCAGATTAGTAAGGATATGATTCACCAGGGTATGGTTCACATAAGCACACATCATCAAGTTTAAATGCGGTATCTATTCTAAACTATGTTCTGTATCTGATAAAATACAGTAAGTTGCAGACATAAAATAATATTTTAAATACAATTAAGTTTAATAATAATTTTAGTGCCAAAGAGTAATGGATTTGTTACAATATTTTTAAATTTAGCATTATATCATCACAAGTCAGTTTTTACTTTAATACGTATTATTACATCGAGTTCCTATAATTCAAATGATTGTAGAAACCCAAACAAAATCAAGATTATAAAAAACAGAAAGCTTACCAGAGGCAACAACAACACTGTAATTGTCCTGAAATCCATTTTCCGCCTTTACTTTTTCTTTCTCTTCGTGGTTTTTCTTTTCTTTGTCATCTTTTTGTTCACTAATTAGTTTAGCTGTGATACTTGGAGTATCTGTAAGAAAATATTATCTAAAATACAATGCGTTTCCAAATCATTAAAAGGGGAAGCAATACGTATTTCAGGAAGACTGTACAAGATCATATGATCCCTATTGCTGAGACACTATAAAGGAATTTCGAAGGAACGTTACAGAGTAAAAACTGGTCTTCAGTCCTTCCCCATGTTAATCAAAGAGACTTGCCTTTGTTCTTAGGGCAGGATAATTAAGTTCCAGTCTTTCAATAGTACTGTTACTATTAGAGATGATGAAAAACCGTTAGCATGAAAACTTGCTTTATTTTAGTTGTAAGTCAATGCGCTTGACACACCTATATCTAATTCAGTCCTCACAATTTGGATATCAAGAAAGAATATTATTTTTGAAATGAGGAACCACCCTTAGAAAAGCCAATGATAAAACTTTCGAGTGGCAAATATGACTCAAGCCCAGGAACTCACTCTAAGCCTTCAGCAGACATCTACTTATATTATGAATGGGAGTATAAAGGAACATATTTCAGTAACAGTCTGCCTGTTCTGTTATTTTTATTTAGGAATGAAATAGGAATCTGAGATCACAAAGTAATGTGTTTTATAATATATTAAAAATGTATACTGAAAGATTTCATAGTTATTCCGCTCTGAATTAATATTTCATTACTTTTTTTTTGGTAGAGACAGAGTCTCACTGTATTGCCTTGGGTAGACTGCCGTGGCATCACACAGCTCACAGCAACCTCCAACTCCTGGGCTTAAGCGATTCTCCTGCCTCAGCTCCCGAGTAGCTGAGACCACAGGCGCCCACCACAACGCCCGGCTATTTTTTGGTTGCAGTTTGGCCAGGGCCGGGTTTGAACCTGCCACCCTCAGTATATGGGGCTGGCGCCCTACTCACTCAGCCACAGGAGCCGCCCTCTTTAATCACTTTGGTATATAGCATGCCATAAAAATTATAAAATGAGTGGGAGATGATTTAATGATATGATTTAGCCATTAAGTAATCCAAAGGCTGAAATGTTTTTATATTAGCAATTTTCTTCAATATATGGATATAATTGATATGGATTCTCTATTCGCCTAAGTTAAGACAATTATGATTCAAAGTGTTTTATATAATGTTAAAGAGACTGAGATGATAAAATAAACATCTTCTGTAATAACTTCTATTGTATGGTTTTCTTAGAGTATCATAAAATAGTCAAGTGATCTCATTTTCTAGAGCTTCTTTACTGACTGCTGATTGTCTTCAGATAGTTCTTATGTGAAATTTATAAATTCTGTAACCTATATAAATACAGTGTGAAAATAAATTTTATTTTTAACAAAAAAAAAAAAGCAACCCCAAACAGCAAAAATATTAACATAAGTCAGAGTGAAATATTTAAGTAGTTAAGAATTTATAAAATTAATTCAGTGCTTAACCAGGCAGGAAAAACATGGAAAGAACATTAGGTGATAAGAATGTATTTAGTGCAATCAGAAGTTTAACTGATTTTTATTTATTTACTCTTAAAAGTAAAATCAGAAAAATAAATAGCATTCAAACATTAAAAGGTATCACTAAGACAGATTTTTCACAAACTCCAGGTTAAAAATGCTCTGGTTGAGAATTCTACTTCTGGCTAAAACAGAAAAATCAGGACCAAGTTCATACTCCCACCTGAAAAATCTAATAATTAGGAAATATATGCAACAAAATAGTTTTCAGACACTGGACAGATGGGGTAGGGTAGGGGAGGACAGTGATGCCTGGGAGAGTGGAAACAAATGAAATGACCCCTAAGATTGAGCCAGCTTACTATCTGGAGAGTTTCCTAGGCCATAGCACAGTACAATCCAGTTGGCACCGTAAGTTAAGGATAGAGAGCTGGGAAACCAGAAGACAAAGGTAGCTGCTGGTAGTTCATAGCCACTGCCAAAGGGGAGAGAGATGCAGAGAGCTCTGGAGATCAATACAAGGTCTTCTTTGAGTCTTCACAATGCACTCACTGCCAGGTGTTTGCACACACACATATACACACACATATACACACACACACAGAAATCCCTGAAGGCCAGGAAGAAAACTATACAAAAATAGCAAGGGAATCAAAGGCCAGGGTTTCAAATGGGGAAGGAATGCTTGTATTCCTCATGTCCAGTGAATTCCTAACTGAGTACTCAGAGGAAGATAGCCTCAGTAATGACATCAAATTGGACTCAGACCTGCATTTTCAAATCTGGTAGCTTATATCTCTTCTAACAGAGTACCTGCTTAAAATTAAGTTAATTAAAATTAAACATTTAATTCATTAGTCTCATTTCATGTGCTCAAAAGTTACTGAACTAGACAACAAACATTTATAAAAATTTCCCTTATCATAATAAGTTTTGTCTTAGATTAAGAGCTGCTCTGATCCTACTTATAAATGAAGCTTAAAAGATTCAAACAACTGTTTTTAAATAACATAACTACATTTCAGCAAAAAAAAAAAAAAAAAAATATTTATCAGAACACAAAATCATCCAGTACCTCCAAAAATAAAATTCACAATGTCTGGCATCCAGACATTCCAGGCAAAGAAGCAAGAACATATAATTCATAAAGAGGAGAAAAATAACACAGACTAATATGTTCAAGAAAGGAGAAGAAAGCATGTACACTTTAAGTGAAGAGAAGGAAACAGTAAAACAAAACAGAACAAAAAAATTCTTTGGGAGGCTGAGATAGGAAGACTGCTAAATCCAGCTCCTGTGAGCTAAGCTGAGGCCAAGGTACTTTAGCTTGGGCAACAGAAAGAGACTCTATATCAAAAAATAAAAATCAAAACATTAAACTTCTAACAGATTCAACTTTGAAGAAGAACAGATCATATGAAGTACATACCACAAGAAATTATTCAACATTTAAAAACAGAGAAAAGAATTACTGAAGCTAAAAAGGAAGAGAACTTTGGGGGCTGTGAAGCATCCTCAAGTGCTGTAACAGATGAGTAATTGTAATCACAAAAGGCGGGAGGGTGAGACAAATTATTTAAAGAAGTGCTAAAAATTTCCAAACCCGATGAAATCTATAAACTCACAGATTCAAGATAACAACTGCAATTATAAATATGAAGAAAAAACAAGGCATATAATCAAAATGCTTAAAACCATTGACAGAAATGTATAAAAGCAAAATATTGACTCAGATACTTTATTATTGAGAAGTTATAGGAAGTGGATAAAATAATTATATACTTTTAAATTACTCATTTTTATACACGCTTATATTATGTAAACATACAAGCAAGGATATACTATGGCTACTAAAAGGACCATGGCACTGTTAACTAGAGGTTAAATTTAACACGATTTGATGTGATACACTTTCAAAGCATTTTTTACTTTTATGCAATAAAGAAAGAGAATTTGGCATTTTAAATAATGAAATGCTTTAGAATAGCATTCTTTCACAGTACGTAGCTCAATAAAAATCTTAAAACGGTCTGTTTTGTTTCAAATTAAACGCATGAAATATCAATAACTGACCCTCTGAGTCCTTCTCTATTTCTTTCATCTACCTAATTACTTTTTATTTCTCATTTTTCTTCATCATATGGAATGAACAACTTCAGGGCTATGATAGAAAATGCTTCTAAAAATCAAATCTATAAAAAAGTTTAACAGATAAGGCGGCCATTTTCAAATAAAAACTTTTAAAGTATGGTTTAATACTATGCTAACTACATGTTGCGTATCTTGTACAAGGTAGGGAAGAACTATGACGTTCGTGTGCACTTGTGTTAGATATGATGGCTGTGAACTGCAACAGAAACTTTCCTACCTACAGCGATCATATCCACTCACACGGTTTAACTTACCATCTATCTGTGGTGACAATTCCTAAATCTCTTCAACTCCAACTTTTTATTGAGCTTTAGATTTGTATTTTCAGCTGTTAAAAGGTTATCTCCAAATTCTTTCTGAGATATTCCTACTACTCCTTCAGTTCTTAGATCTCCTTAAAAACCGAGGTTCCCCTCTTATACACAGAGATAGAAATATGTCTTTTTTATATTTATGCTACAATGCAAATTATTTACACTTCAAGTTTACTTCAGAATCTGACAACACACATATGACCATAACTACCTTGAGGGGAAGAAGGTGTGTCTTGTTCACTTTTACATCTTTAGGACAAATTACAGTACCTGACATGGTACCGATGCTCAATGAATTCATTCATCAATTAGCTAGGATTTCTCAGAAGCAATAACTCAAACTATCTGAAGTTGTTATACATTCTGTCATCGAAACTCGTTTAAAGGCATCATCCTAGTGAGGCACAGGACCTCAAGCCTTCAGTCCCAGCACCTGGGAAAACTAAGGGAGGAAGAACACGTAAGCTCAGAGCTCAAGGCAGCAGCGAGCTAAGAGGACACCACTGCACTCCGACCTGGGCAGCAGCGAGCTAAGAGGACACCACTGCACTCCGACC